CAGATTACAGGGAGTGCTATAACCCACAGTTGGAGGCTGCCATACCTTTAGGGCTGCCTAAAGGGGCAGATCCCAAGAGGATGTGGCAGCACAGCTCCATTCTTCACCCCTCTGGATTTGCCACACTGCTGCTCAGTGCAGGGTCTGGTGCGAACCCTCCGGGCTCCCCTGCTTTTGCAGTTCTGGAGCCCAGAGTGTTAGTGTCGTCACCACTACTCATCCCCTTCCTTTCCCCTGATGCTGAATTTAGCAGGAAGGGGTAGGGTAAACAGCAGCAGCATTCACCCCCTGTGCTCCAGAGCCATGCTACAGTAGGGACTCCATCCAGACCCTGCCCCAATCACCTGGTGAGCTAAGACCACACTGTTCATGCAGAGTGCCAGCAGGAACTCACACCAACCAGACAGTAAACTCAGAGCTCACTGCACATGCATGGCATAGCAAAGTAGGGGGACTGAACAGCCCCTTTCATGTTTCCTGGATCTGCAATCTGCTGTCTACATTCTGTTTTTGTAAAAGGAACAGTGCAGACTCTTACTCCTTGCTCCTAACGCCTGCATAAGAAATTATTAGTCTGAAACATTAAGCAGTATTTTCTATGATTCTATAGGTATTCTTCAAAAGACTCACTGAATCATTAAAAGAATCACAACAAAACATTTTCTCCTATGAACAGAACTTGTACAGATAAAAATATTTTGCTAAGCAAATAATCACACGATCAGAAGAATGCCTCTAAATACAAGTATCTGCAGTAAGAGGTTTCTGGAAAGCATGTTGTAGCCGCTATAGTTAACGGTCTATTTTAAATTTCTGTAACACCATATTTGTAAAAAACTGCACAATACATTTATTACAACTATCATCTGATTAGCCAGAAGAAATTAAAAAGTACTAAACAAACAGGATTTTGGAACACTTGGTAAATACATTTCATGCAGAATTTTAAAGTAAAACGCTCACAGTAAAAGTTGTTATATAGGGCAAGACAGAAAACTGAACGCTCCCTATACATGCAGGTCCAAAGATAAAAATATTAAAATACGTAAAAGAATGTAATTCTATAAAAAGAGGAATGGAAGAAAGGAGAACATTTTTCATGCACAGAAAGACAGATGTCTTGGAATATGACTTCTGATGACACAAGATACCGTTCTTTACACATACATATTTTTTACATGGCAATAAAACCAAACAAAAATGTATAGAAGAAAATAAACATGTTTTGTACTCATATTCATACTATGAGTTCCTATGAAGTCATATTTCAAAACATTAATACTCTGTCTGGTCTGTACCTTTTTTATTGCCATATATGAGTCGTTCTTCAGATGGAGAGTCCAGAAAAAAGGAAGTGAATGATGGAGAAAAGGTGAGCGAGACAGATTTAACTTGGCAGTGGTAATAAAGGATGAATGGAAAAGAGAAGTGAAGTAAATGGAAAACTGCCACACTTAACAAATGCATTTGTTGACTAAAAAAAAAGCGGATCTCATTGAGTACATTTTACAACTTTGATAGCATGGAAAATTAGGCAAGTCTTTGGAGAATCCATTTATGTAGGGAAGATTATGTGTAGACAGTATATAGGTGGAATTAAGAGATAGACATCAAGCAAATAAACTGTTAAAGGAGATGGGGAAATAAGTTTGAAAAAAAAAGAATTAAAAAAAGTTCAAGTGCTATACTAGCAAGGGAGCATATACAATAAACTGATGGCAGAGGTTATGCTGGACAGTCAAAAAAGCCTGTCATCTCACTGTACATAATTTTTATCTCATATATAACCCCTTGATCTCACAAATACTTACGCATGTGACAAACCACTTCAAACACAATAATATTATTTAAAAACAATGTAAGCTTAAGCAGCGTTGAAGTGATGTTGTAGCCATGATGATCCAGGAACTATGCGAGAGGCAAGGATTTGTGTGAGCAATATCTTTTATTGGAACAACTGCATGGTTTGGATAGACTTGGACAAGTTTTAGAATGCAACAAACAAAACAAAAAAAATATATACCAGAACATAAATATGTTCTGTATTAGTATTCACACTACTAGATTCTACAAATCATATTTCACAACATTAGTACTCCGTCTAGTCTGTACCTTTTTTGTTGCCACATACAAGACTTTCTTCAGATACAGCCCTGAACAATTATAAAGAAAAATGCATTGCATTTGAAAACTTGTCTAAGTCTGTCTCAACCATGCCGACAGTTTCATAATATATCACCCACAGAAATCTTTGCCTCTTCCAATATACACTTAAGTACTTGCAAAATCAGGCTGAAAGGCAACATTTTTCTTTTTCTTGTTACAGGAAAGTTCAGGTCGCTTTATGGATAGTCAAGTCCTTCAAAATTAAAATGCATAGCTTTTTTGCAACAATACGGTTTATCTTACATTATTTTAAAAGTAATTAAATACTAATTCAATATGAAATGTTTGCACTCAAATATGGAAACTGTGCAAATAGGGGTGCTTTTACTTTAGTATTACTTTTTGCTTACCAAAGTGTGTTCTTAAAAAACCCAAACCCTCAAGTCAAATCAATTATATTCTTTGGAAGAAATAAATTTTGAGAATTTTTTTAAAGATTGTATTAAAAGATTTTGTTACAGTAAACAATGTAAAATAATGATGGTATTATACTGTAAGTCATGGCATCTTACTACTGCAAAAAAACTTAAGGATTCAGTGCACTGCTACAGCTGAGGACATCACTGTACATATCGAAGATTTTTGCATTTGGTAAGGCTATATGTTGTATAGTTCATAGACACACACACGACTATATACAGCATATACACAATAACCTCTCTTTCAAAGCTTTCTCCTTTAAATTCAAGAAGCAAAATTAACATATACATAAATTTCATAGAGATCAACAAGTCTTTGCCATATAAAATATATTTACATCTGTTTGACAGAAATGTATCAGTTTTAGAAGGATAAAAATAAATGTTATATTAAAAAGATGGAGTTGTTTATGAGACTGCTATAAATAAATTATCAATTCACTATTCTAGCTAGATGTCTGTTGACCTTGTGTGTCAAGAAAATAACATTTTCAGTGGAGGAAACGTATTAACTTTTAAAGTCCTAAGACTTTGAAAACTTTACATATATATGTTTCATCTTCAATCTGTAAAATCATGTGTTGATGTTTACAAAATAAATACCATTATTGCTTGCTAACAGCTTACAAAAGAAAAAAAAATGGGGTATGTGCACACATGTACATGTGTGCGCACTTTTTACATACACACCTGAATCTAAAGAAAAAGGAACAAAACCTGAAGACAATACATTTTTCCTATCATCCAGATATCACTAGTCAAACCTCAACCACTAAACTACTGTTCCACAAGTTTCCATGAAAGTATAATAGTTTATAGATATAAAAGTAACCTTACCGTCAAATTGATCCTCTCCTTCTGTCATTAATTCATCATCAGAGCAAATGCTCAGAACATTCACCAACATTTCTGTTACTGTATTGAAAAAAAATAATAATTAACTGGTTGTACATAATCTAAATATTTTCAGGAATGTGAAGTGAAACAAAGCATCTGCATCTATAGTTAACAAATTTCCTGTCCTAGGAAATACTTGAGTTTCTCAGTAATCTGTTCTTCTGGACAAAAATAGTTTTCAATGCAGATAGTTAAGGAACCTGCATGTCCTTCTCTGCAGCACTGCAGTCTAGTACTCCCCAGTCTGTATTTTTCATGTGATTATTCCATCTCAAGTACAGGACTTTGCACTTATCCTTCTCAAATTTCTTCTGGTTAATGCAAACTGTTTCTCCAGTGTATCCTAGCTCCACCCTGTAGTGTCTGCAAATTCACCCAATTTGGTGTTGTGTGAAGATTTGTTAAGCATGTACTCAATCCCATCATCCAAATGATTTATGAACATGTGAACAATACCAGACCCAGGACAGACTCTGGGGAACTCCACTTGATTTTAGAATGTTAAACGAACATCCATCAGATCTAGACAATATTTAAGAATTCTAATAATGTAATATTGACACTGTATAAAATTAGAAAAATCTGTAATAAAACATTATTTAAAATGGAAACATCTTCTTGAAATTGTCCACAAACCTCAACTGCTAGCATCTGTTAGTTTTGGGCATCTATTTTAGCTTGAACACGTATTAGGATGTGGCTTATATAGTATTACTAGCCAACTGCCTGTCAAGAACAATGGTGGGGCAGGGATGGAGTGCTGCCACCTAACACCCCATGCTGCCACTGTTCTACCTCTTGCAGGGAATGGGGGGAATCAGAGTGCAAATAAAGAGTTACAGACAGACTTAGGCTTTTATAATATCAGAATTATTAATTAACTACATTCGTTATATGACATATACATGTCAAGGGTGTAGCTAAACTTTGGTGACAATCTAAAGTCATACGCTTAATTGTACAATAAGGATCTTTTTCCTCTACATTGAAATCTATTCATTGTTTGTATCTTGCACTTTTAAAGAATTACTGCTAAGAATGATTTATATGCATGATCCATGGTCATGCATATAAATCAATACTTCTCCCAACACAAACATGTGTATGAGTAATTCTAAAGGATCGTGTTATAAATAAGCTAGCCATAAAAAGAGCTGTGTTAAATCATATATTAAAGCTTGCTCTATTTGAACCACTGCAGTATAGCAGGAGACTAAGGATGGGTTTAATATATTTTCTGTGGCTGACTGGTTATGGTCTCTATAGGTTTAATCAACTAACAAGTTAAACTGTGCTAGATTTGTTTTCCAAACTTTTTCTTGTACTAAAACAATGAATTATTGACACTATGCCATAATATGCCTTTTAAAGAGAACTTAAATTTTGGCTGCTTCATCATGCAAAATTACAGCTACCTCAGCCAAAACGGTGATGGGAGAAGTACCACTCACTATGGGTGAAGTTGTATCCTATTTCAGCATCTCTCACCAACGTATACTACAACACATTTAGATGAGGATTTACAATGGAACATGCAAATACATTTCTTTGAGCAAGTGTTCATATCTCTTCCCCCTAATTCAATAACAAAAGAGTAGACACCTCTGAAAAAATATCCTCCTCTTCAGTAAATATTAACCCACAACAGAAACAGAATACAAAGACTTCTACTTAAGTTGTGTAACAATTACCTACCTTTCTCTCCAACAAACGGCAACGACCACGTGAATACATCCATAAAATTGGGTAACCAGTAAGGATGTGGAGAACAGTTGAACTGACGAATATTCATCACATTATTTTCATATTTTAATACAGCAGCTGCAAAACATTCAGAAATTCAGGTACAAATGTTTATCTTTCACAAAAAGCACAATAGTTACAAAGCCACCATTTAACCCTACTTATAGCTGTTTTACAACTCAGATAAATATAAACCCAGGAGGCACTCCTTACTTTTTTATTCATGATTACCATGGGATGGTAACAGAGAAGATTCTACCAGAGAGCTTTGGACAATGAGAAACTAACTGACATTACTACAAATGTTGCAGTTTAAGGGATATACTTAAAAAAAAAAAATCAATTTTAGTGTCAGTACAATTCTGTATTAATAACAGACATATGTAAAAAAACTAATGAAAAATGCTATTTCAGGCATGATAAGAAACCTCCAAGTCAAAATAACAGTCAGAATCAGGCATTATTTATATCCTCTCTATAAATCAACTTTCTTATAAAGCTACTGAGAATTCTTCCACTCCAAACAGCAAAGGAACAAACTCAAGGAAATCTGAAAACTAGGATGGAGAAGCCACATGGAGAAGGCAGAAAGACAGCTTTCTGGTAGAGCTTTTCTGTAGTTATTTTTGCAATAGTGGAGTGAGGATGGATGCTTGTGTTGGACTTGAGAGTAGCTTTTGGATGCACTGAAAGGTAGAGAATCACATAAAATTAGGATTGGAAGGAACCTCAGAAGGTCATCTAGTCCAACCCCATGCTCAAAGCAGGGGCACTAGATCATCCCAGCTTTGTCTACTTGGGTTATATAAACAGGGATGGACATTTCACAACCTCTCTGGGTAACCTATTTCACTGCATTACTACCCTCCTTGTGAGAAAGTTTTTACTAATATTTGACCTAAATTTCCCTTGCTGCAACTTGAGATCATTGCTCCTTGTTCTGTCATCTACCACCCTGAGACCAGTCTAGTTCTATCCTCTTTGGAACCCTGCTTCAGATAACTGAAGGTTTCTATTCAATCCCCGCTCAGTCATCTCTTCTCCAGACTAAATAAGCCCAGTTCCTTCTGCCTCTCCTCACAAGTCATGTGCCCCAGCCTGCCTACATCCACTGAACTCTCCCCAATTTCTCCACAACCTTTCTGTAGTGGGGGACCCAAAACTGGACACAGTACTCCAAATGTGGCTTTACTACTGCTGAACAGAGGGGAATAACCACTTCCCTCGATCTATGGTAACACTCCTACTAATGCAACCCAGTATGCTGTCAGCCTTCTCTGCAACAAGGGCATGCTGTTGGTTTATGTTCACCTTACTGTCCACTGTAACCCATAGGTCTTTTTCTGCATAGCTGCTGCTTAGCCAGCTGGTCCCCAGGCCATGGGATTGTTCTGCTTTCAGTGCAGGACTTCGTAATAAAGCATTAAGACAGCATTTGTTCCTATAACCCATTATGACAGTCCCACAAAGTGGAAAGGGGGGAGCAAAAACGATCTTTACCATTTTAGCACAGAAGTCTTGATTTCAATAGGACTGTTAATATGCTTGATAGATTTACTGGACTCCCACTGATTCAGGAGACTCTTTACAAGGCCTTAAAATTTTAAAAATTAATTTCCTTAGTCTTTTTTTTTTCTCCCTCTCTGTTCCTGGGTGATCTAATCCTGTTTCCACAATTCAACTACCATCCCAAACCGATAACATGTAAAATCTCCACCATTAGCTTCTTTTCTTCCATACCTCAGCCTCTCTCTCTCTCTCTCTCTCTCTGAAATTGTCGCTTGGATGCCTTATCTTAAAACTGAACATGAACAAAATTAAACTTCTTACCGTTGACTTTTTCTGCTGACAGCAGTACCATCTCTCTCTCACCACACTGGTCCACATTCTTGTGGTTATTTTTTATTTCCTTCCTCACTCTTGCTCAACACAACCAGACCATATCCAAAACCTAATACCTTTTCCACCTCCATATTTCTAACATATGTCTACCTATACCTATGTCCAAGTCTCTCACTTAAGCTCTTAATATATCTAAATTTTAATGTAGCATTCCTGCTTTGGCTTCAAAAACACCCACTGTCCCTCCTCAATTGTACAAAATGCAGTATCTGCCATGTCTATCAACTGAATCCCATCACTCCCTCCTTTGCTTTGCTCTACCAGCTCACCATTTATAATGAAATTTAAGCTTTTAGACGTCATGTTCAAAGCTCTATATACTGTTGTGCTGCCCTCTTCCACCCTACCTATTCCAGGCTTAGGCTGCCTCCATTGGAATGAAGGCCAGCCCTCCATTCCAATATTCCTGGTTTGCCTTCCCATTTTTGCTTCCCACACAATTATTTCCATGTCTTCTTACCCATAAACCCCTATGCACAGTGCA